CTCCCTCCAGGGCGTGGCCGCCGTCTTCATGTTCGCCTTCGCTTCCCTCTACACGCAGGGCCCGGGTGAGGGCGCCGAGCGAGGGACACCCTCCGACCCGCGCGGGACCCACGTCCACTCTTCTTCCCGCCCCACACTCGCGCCGTCAGGGGCGGCAGGGAGGGCCAGGCCTCGACGCGTGGCGTCGGGCGTGGGCACGTGCAGTCTGGGCGTGCGATGAGCCGCTTCCCTCAGGGCCCGGGGTCTGACCAGGAGTGGGGGCAGAGTCCTGAGAGCGCTGTCAGAGGCCAGCGGGAGACCAGACCCTGACCTGCCGCAGAGTGAAGGGGTGCTGCAGGGCGGGAGGCCTTCCGGGCCCTTGGGGCTCCGTCAGCAGGTTCTGACCTGGGGAGGGTCTGGAGGGGCTCTAGGCCTTGCCTGCATGGAGGCCTGGCCCTAACATGTCTTCCCACAGGCCTCTATGGCCCCGAGGGCATCCTTCCTGCTCGGAGGACCCTGCGGCCGCAGGGCAAAGGGCGCTGGCAGCAGTTGTGGGAGACCCCGACGCTGTTGTGGGAGGCACCACGGCTGGGGCTGGACACTGCCCAGGGCCTGGAGCTGCTGAGCCTGCTGGGCACACTGCTGGCCCTGGGCGCCCTTCTGCTGCGCCCGCTGCGCCATCTGCTCGTCTACCTATTGCTCTGGGTTGCCTACCTGTCGGCCTGCCAGGCAAGTTGGGCTGCCCCAGGCCCCTAGAACCCTTGTCATCAGCTGGTCCTTGCTCCCTAGAATCCCCTGGGCTCCCTACCCTGCCTCTGCCTGACTCCGCAGACACACACCCCTGCTCCCTGACAGCCCTCTCCCTGCAGGTGGGCCAGGTGTTCCTTTATTTCCAGTGGTGAGTGACTTGGGCGTGGGGCCACAGAAGGCTTGTGGGGGTGGCTGCCTTCGATTCCTTGAGGACCCTCGGGAGCAGCGTGATGGCGAGGGACCCTTCGTGCAGTTTGCTCTCTCCATAGGGATTCTCTGCTGCTGGAGACTGGCTTCCTGGCAGTGCTGGTGGCCCCGCTCAGGCAGCCCCCTCACCTCAAGCAGACCCCTGAGGGCAGGCTAGCAGGGGCGGCACCCCATGAAGGCCTTCCCTTTTGGCTCGTGCGCTGGCTGCTGTTCCGCCTCATGTTTGCCTCTGGCGTAGTCAAGCTGACCAGCCGCTGTCCCGCATGGTGGGGGCTCACTGGTGAGGGTCCCAGCCTCTACCTGGGGTGGCATGGGGACACTGCCCAGTGATGACAACTTCCCTGTTGCCTGCAGCCCTCACCTACCACTACGAGACACAGTGCTTGCCCACGCCTGCAGCCTGGTTCGCCCACCACCTGCCAGTCTGGCTGCACAAGCTCAGCGTGGTGGCTACTTTCTTCATCGAGATCGCTGTGCCCCCTCTGTTCTTTGCTCCCATTCGCCGCCTACGATTGGCTGCCTTCTATTCCCAGGTGGGTGGGGCCTTGGCCATTGCAGAGACACAACACTGCCCAGATGGGTTCCACTGGGGACAGGGTGGCCCTGGAGGCAGGTGGCAACTGCTGTCAGGAAGGCCTGATAGGGACCAGCAGTTAGCGTAATGGCTATGTCACTGGACTCCCATGTAGTCAACCACAGTTCAAGTCCTGGACCCAGTGGCATACACTCACGCCGGGCACATATGCGCGAGTGTGTGCACAAGATCCCGAGAGGAGAATGGAGAGAAGGGATTGCGGCGGCGTCATCCCCCTTGGGGAGGAGATTTCTCGCTTTCTGTCTCTCTGTCTCTCTCTCTCTGGCAAGCACACGTGCCCTATAGCAAAAAACCTCTCCAAAGAAAAAGGAAGGCTTGGTAGGCAGTGGGTGAGACGGGGTGTGCCTGTCAGCCACGCTGTGGGGTGCCAGTCCCTAGGTCAGCAAGGACCGAGACAGGCCAGGCTCTGAGTGCAGACCTCCCCCAGGTGCTGCTGCAGGCCCTGATCATCACTACTGGTAACTATAACTTCTTTAACCTGCTGACCTTGGTGCTCACGACTGCCCTTCTGGATGACCAGCACCTGGCTGCTGAGCCTGGCCATGGCCACAGCAAGAAGGTGCCCACCTGTGAGTGCCAAGCTATTTCAACAGCCAGCCCCCCTTACCACCACTGCCCACATAGCGTCCTCCAACACCCCCCAAGTGACCCCTGCTCTGGCTGCACCCTGGCCCCTGGCTGCAGATTCTCAGTCAAATCAACTGGCCTGCCCCACAGCCTGGCCCCGGGTCCTGCTGGCCACACTGTCTTTGCTGCTGGAACTGACCATATATGGGCTGCTGGCCTATGGCACTGTGCACTGCTTTGGCCTGGAGGTCGACTGGCAGCAACTCACTGTCCACTCTAGAACCGGTGAGTGCCAGAGGGGAGGGGGGCTGGAGGGCAGGACCAGAACCCTCACCCCCTCTCCTTTGGCAGCCTTCACCTTCCACCAGTTCTCCCAGTGGCTGAAGATGGTGACCCTGCCGACCATGTGGCTGGGTGCAGCGTCCCTCACCTGGGAGCTGCTAACTGCCCTCTGGAGGTACCTGGCCTGGGGTGGGGACAGGGGAGGGCTCTGCAGGGTAGGCCTGACCTCTTGGGCTCCTGCCCTCAGGTGGACCCAGGTACGGGGGTGGCTGCCCAAGCTGGGTGCTGCAGTGCAGCTGACTGTCCTTGGCACTGCTACAGTGACCTTGTTCATCATCAGCCTGGTGAGTAGCTCTGCTGGCGTGGGAGGGGCCGGAGGGCAGTACCCAGCTTCTGCCCACTTGCCTCCAGGTACCATACTCCTACGTGGAACCAGGGACCCATGGGCACCTCTGGACTGGGGCACACCGCCTATTTGGAGCCGTGGAGCACCTGCAGCTGGCAAATTCCTACGGCCTCTTCCGACGCATGACTGGCCTGGGCGGGCGGCCTGAGGTGGTGCTGGAGGGCAGCTATGACGGACACCACTGGACGGTGAGCCCGCTCACAGAGGGAGGGCAGCAGGCCCGTGTGCTGGCCTGGCTGACCGCAGCTCCATGTGGCAGGAAATCGAGTTCATGTACAAGCCAGGAAATGTGAGCCGGCCACCCCCAGTGGTGGTGCCCCACCAGCCGCGCCTTGATTGGCAGATGTGGTTCGCGGCCCTGGGCCCACACACGCACAGCCCTTGGTTCACCAGCCTGGTCCACCGCCTCCTGCAGGGCAAGAAGCCAGGTGAGGGGGTGAAGGCCAAGGGCTGTGGAGAGGTGAGGCCATGGCAGCCATGCTGAGCCTCCTGCCCTGCACAGTGATCCACCTCATCCAGAGCCACTCGGCCAGGTACCCTTTCTGGGAGCAGCCGCCCGCCTACATCAGGGCCCAGCGCTACAAGTACTGGTTCTCACAGCCGGGGGAGCAGGGGTAAGGCTGGAAGCCCGGCGGGGTAGGGGTCTTTGGCTCGAGCCTCCCTTCAATGCCCAGTCCTGTTGCAGTCAGTGGTGGCGACGCCAATGGGCGGAGGAATTCTTCCCACCAGTGTCCTTGGGCGACCCAAAGCTGGAGATGCTGCTCAGGCAGTTCGGGCTTCAGGTAGGAGGGGTGGGTGAGCTGGGGAGCTGGCGAGGCCCTACCCTCAGGCAAACCCTGCTGTCTTCCTCTATCCTGCCTGCAGGACCACAGCCCGGCCCGGACCCGCAGCTCCAGCACGCTAGCCCAGGCCCTCCGCTGGACACGGACTCAGCTGTCGGCTGTGGAGGCCCCCACCCTGCTCTGGGGGCTGTTCGTGGCCGTGGGGACCATCAGAGTAGTGCAGGCACTGCTGGCCTACTGGTCATGCTGGTCCTCACTGGCCATCCGGAAGAAGCACAGGCCAGCCCTCAAGGACACAGGAGCTGCAGGAGCCCAGGGCACCCCAATCCCTGCCAGCAGGAGTGGTAGTTCGGGACCCCCGAGGCGGAGAAAATAGCTGCACTTCCGTCATTGTGTCTGAGAGAGATGTCTGGCAGCTCTGGCCATGCAGGAGGACTGAACCCAGCCTGTCTTAGCCAGCTCTGCCTGAGAAACACCGATTGGGGTGCCACCCTCTGGGAGTTGCTGGGGGCTGCTTTGAGGCCCACTGCCCCCCACCATGCTGCCAGGCCCCTCACCAGGTCCCCTAGCTGCCCCTGTCCCAATTGACCTAGGAGATGAGTTTGAGACCCACCCCAGGTCATTGTGACGGGGTTGTAGAGGC